GTACTGTAAATTTGAGTCATCACAATTACTAATCTATTATTTTATCAATGTCTTTTTTTTGTCTATATAATAAAAAGAACATAACACGGCGGCTTGAAGATATGAATTTTATTTTCGAGTGCGCTCCTTCGTAAAATATTGTTTTTGCCACTCGAAAATAAAATTCATATCTTCTCGCCACCGTGTAATATCCTCTATATAATAATGCTCTTTGTTTGTCATCCCAAGATTTTGCATAAGCATTGTCTTCAATTTCTCTTGGGAGTTAAAATGGAAATGGCCCCAAGAGAAACTGGAAACAATGCTTATGCAAAATTTTGGGGTGACAAAGAAAGAGCATTATGGTATGTTATGGTATTTTCTGGAGTGGTCAATGAGGCTATGCTGTTAAGGTTGCCTAGTTTAAAATTGCTATGTAACAATAATGAAATAATTGGAATTTTTCAAATAAGCAAATCTAACTATTCAACTGAAATTAGTATAGGTAATAGCATGATTTGTAGTGATATTTGGCATAAATACCACGAGTGATATTTCAAAATTGTTATACGTAATTTCACGAGCCATTAGAAGAGTGAAATTTGAGACAATTTTGAAAAATCACGAGTGGTATTTATGCCAAATATCACGTACAAATCATGCTCTTATTTGTTTATACTACTACCCACGAAAGGTTTGTAATTTTCACATGTTGGTATTTCAAATTAAGCTGAAACACCACTGCTCTAAGCCAATCAAATTGCAGAAATTTCTCATGTAGTAGTATAAAAGTAAGAATTACATTTCCAAGTATACAATAATCAGCTGAAAGATTGGATAAGAAATTATTATTGTTGTTGCCTTAGTGTAAAAACAGTGGCTCACGAAGAGCCTGGTCCCAAGTGTCCTACCTATTTTTCCAGTCTCTTCTGCTGACTGGTCTTCACTAATGGACCGTTTGGCAAAGCCCTTGTGTCCTTTTTTACAGAACATAAAAAAGAAGGATGAGGCAAATATCCTGCAAAATCATTAAATGCGTTGTAAACAAAACTCTTAGAGTACAGTTTTAACACAGGAATATTATCATAAAATTACACATAAGACAAGTTAATAGCTTCAGGTTTGCCCTCTAGGTCATTTTATTTTTAGTGGCTACAACTCACTTCTCCAGATCTTCGAAAATACATATCATAAATAATCTTTAGTTATAGTACAAAGATAAAGAGGATGGGCACGAGGCGAACTTTTGAAAATAAATAATGTCACTCTACTACAAATGATCATCACGGCGCGTACAAAAAAGGTTTTAAGGCCGAGGAAGAATTGTTTGGTTTTTATTTGCACATGCTGAATTATTTTTAATATTTAAACACATTTAGCATACATGCTTCTAGACTTGCTACAAGTCGACCTCTTGGCGAGAGGAGCGAGCCTTGTTTGGCCGCGAAGAGGCCGACCGTGAGCGACGAAGTCGCGAGAGGTTGTTCTTCGTCCGCGCCATATGAAATCCGACGGAGGACTTTTGGAAAGTCTAACATGCTTCTCAATGGTACCAATCGATCGATGCCCGTTAAAAAAAACGATCAGGATTAGCAAAGTTAGGGCCCGATCTATTTGTTGAAAAAGTTGTTAATTAAGTTTTGGCAATTTCGGCCCTCTAAAACCCTTTTCAAGGCTAGGTGGAAAAAAAGTTGTAAGGGAGCCCAGTCAGCCATGAGACAAGTCATTGAAGCCCTAACAAGCTTCTCTGCATGACCGGTTTCGCTAGAAAATTTTAAAGGTTAACTTTTTATGACTAATGTTAAAAATTCCTGCCTTTAAATACAGTAGACTGCGAGAATATCGTTCTTTGCAATCGCACTGACTGGGAACCAACCAAACGAAATATGCAGTCATTTGGATGAAAAAGCGTCAAAAAGGCAGGTTTCTTAAGCCCGAGAAGCTCCAAGATCACAGTAACGAAGAAAAAGGAAAGAACTAAAAGAAAGAGCGAGGAGAAGGAAAGGAGGAGAAGACAAAAAAACAATGGTTGCACTCTTAGTTTTAAAATGGCTACCTTGGAGATAGTTTTTGGCCGAAAAAAACTGTTGGACGCAAAAGGTCAATATTTGGCGATAACGTTATCAAAAATCCGGCTAGATACATAACAATCATTGACCGAAGTGGAGGTGGTTAGTAGTGACTATTTACCGAGACCGCGAAGCGGCGAGGTATATCCACTACTAGCCACCGATACTGAGGTGAATAACTGTTTTAGTATATACTAAAGCAGTGCGATAATTGAGCACAAAAATGATGATTTTTAACTCATTTACTGTAGCCAACGATTACAATTTTGGGGCGCGATGACCGAACGGCCGCGGTCGTCGCTTTTTCTTGGCGACAAATAAAACTTTTGAAGGCGTTTGTTTAGCTCTTGCGGGGAAGTTTCTTCAAAAGGAGTTGTGAATTCTTTTTGTATTTAAAATCATTCTGTAAAAAAGATTATTAAATTTAGTTTTAAGCTTACTTATGAACAAGTCAACTAAATAAAGTAACGCAAGACTTAAGCTTAATTTGCATTTGTAAACAAAAAACTTTTTCACCGGTTTTATATATATATAAGGAACGAATTAGCAAGTTCATGCCCCCACAGAAATCGATATGTACTTGGAAACTTTAGAGTAACGTAGCTTAAAACCCGCTTATATCACATTTTTTATAACGACAGATAATCCCTCTTATATAATGTTTTTGTTACCTAGCAACCCTTTCAACAGTTTCATATAACCTGAATGTAACGCATCTACCATAGCAACCATTTTAATTTTCGCATTTAACTGCCAGCCTTCCATTCCAACAGTTCAGTCGTCAAAATTGCCTGATGAGTGTGGTCCTTGCACCATACGAAACATTTCTGTAGCAATAAAACGATGATTACTCGTGAAACCTGAACTTCTGTGAAGTTATAATATATATATATATAATTTGCACGGGCTCTCTTGCCAAGAGAAGGTGTCTAGGTTCAGCATGCTTCTCATTCCCCGTTACGGAACCTCCCTTGCGGTTTCGCAGTGGAAATTTAGGATGGTACTTATGGTTGAGTACCGATCCAGCCGTCTCGACCAAAACAAGCCATTTTCCGGACCGGTTTCGACTTTACTATCTTCTTCAGCGGATTTTACAGTTTCAGCTTGTCCGGTCGCTTACGCGCCGTTGGACTTATATATATATATATATATATATATATATATATATATGCAGGAAAGAAATGAGAAAAAAAATTTGACGGAGCAAGGAAGGTTATACCCGCAGTCATGCAAAGGAAACAATACATCTATATGATACACAGTTCCACGTTGTATGGCAGGATATGAGAGCTCCCAATGAAAAAGACCCTGACTGTCATATGACGGGAACATGAACGAAGCTCCAACTTGTGCAAGGAATTTGGTCTCTATTTTTCACGCTGTATTCAATGTACACATCCCCTCTTGGCGAGATTGCTCGACGTCATCAAATGTTCTATCACTTTTATGCTGATGACACTCAGCTATATATTACGTTCAGGGCGTGGTCTGTTTCTGATATGAATCTGAGTAACGCCAAATTAGTAAACTGTGTTCGGGACATGGGCGCATGGATGCTTTCCAACAAGCTGAAATTAAATAAAGACAAGTCCGAAGATCTCGTAATATCCTCTTCCTATCGACCTCGGCCACCACTATCTTCCGTTGATATATGTAATGAGACTGTATCCTGCTCCCCCAGTGCACGCAATATTGGAGTTATCTTTGATCAGTCCCTTTGTATGGTACCTCATGTCAATGCAGTCTGTCAATCGTCCTTTTTCCATCTTCGTAACATTGGTTTCATACGCAAATATCTTACTTATGATGCTGCAAGGATCATTATTCATGCCTTCGTAGTTTCTAAACTTGATTATTGTAATTCTTTATTGTACGGCCTACCATCCTATCTTATTCGGAAGCTTCAACATGTTCAAAATTCTGCTGCTCGCCTTGTCAACCAGTGTCCAAGATTTTGCCATATTACTCCAGTCCTGAGGGATCTTCACTGGCTTCCTGTCTCCTTTCGTATTGAATTTAAAATTATGTTAATTACTTACAAAGTACTACATGAACGAGCTCCAATCTATATACAGGAACTCCTTCAATTGTATACACCCAACTGCAATCTTAGATCCTCTAATAGAAATTTATTAGTTAAACCCTATTTTAATCTCAATTCGTATGGTAAACGAGCTTTTTCTGTTGCTGTTCCGGAACTTTGGAACAACTTACCTGAGGATATTAAATCTGCAAACTCAATTGATCATTTTAAACGCAAACTTAAAACATTTCTTTTTATGCGAGCTTATGAATCGTGACGTTTTTATTTGTTATCTGATTTTTTATCTGTTTTGTACATTTATCTATTTTGTAGTTAGCGTCTAGTTTTAATGTCAGTTTCTTGTGATTATTTTTACTTTTTAGTTCTATCTAATTTTTTGTAAACAGCGCCTTTGAATCTTGTAGAAAAGGCGCTATATAAATGGATTATTATTATTATTATTATTCACTGTTGAAAGCCATATAAAGGTGGCTCTATCACTGCTATTAACGTTTGGCTAAAAGAAGGTATTGCTTTCCTCTTTTGATAGGGCCAGGTGACTGGAATGGCATTTTCAAGGGGCAAAAAAGTTTACCTTTTGTGCTCAATCTTGGCAGCAGTTAACATAATAATTTTCAGCCTCTCAGACATTCTCCACCTTAAGCCGAAAATGAAAAGTGTTCACTGTATACCGAAGACAGAGTTGAATGAACAGGCGACACCATTCCAAAAGGTACAGGCCCGTAGGGAGGGGGGTACGACTGGTGTGCTCGCACCCTCCACAGGCCCCAGAAAACTGAAAAGAGCGTTTAAAAAGAGCCTAAAGCGTTTACACTCTAGTATCGGTATTGTAAGATGACTAACTAGTTTCACAGGTAAACATTTTAATTCATGATCAGTAACCTTAGCGGCGGCCATTTTTCTTTTAGGAATCCAAGTGGAGAAGATGCAAGAACCTTATATCTGGAGAGGAAAAAATCAATGAAACGAATCAAATCTCATCGAATGACTCAGAAATTCTGAGTATCTACAGGCCTGATCAAGATTGCCCGTGCGTTTTACAAACTCGTTTTGTTCATCCTCCTGTGTCAAAAGAAGAAGGGGAGCTTCCGATCGCTTTTAGTCTCACTGTTTATAAAGGTTCACGTCTGCTCGACCGAATTCTACGAGCCATTTACATGCCAAACAATGTCTACTGCATCCACATCGACAAGAAATCCTCAGAGGTCTTCCGTAAAGCAATTCAGGCCATTATACGTTGCCTTCCAAACGTTTTCATCGCAGCAAACAGTGTTGACGTCATATGGGGACATATTTCTGTAGTTAAAGCTCAATTTAGTTGCATGGAAGAGCTTTTGAAATCACAAGTTAAATGGAAATATTACATAAGTTTAGTTGGACAGGATTTTCCGCTTTATGATAACAAGCAGATTGTAAAAGCATTACAAAGTTTAAACAATACCAACAACATAGAAAGTTATCCAATGGCCAAACGTGAATTATCCCGAATGAAGGCTGTTTTCATATTAAAAGAAAACCACCGGATCTACAGAACAAAAAAGCCAAAAGGGCCGCCACCACACAATATTACATTCTGTAAAGGATCAACACATATTATTGCTATAAGAGAATTCGTCGAGTTTGTTCTTCATGGTCAAATAGGAAAAGACCTCTATGAATTCTTAAAAGATTCTGGTATACCGGATGAAACGATATATTCATCTTTACAAAGACATCCAGGAGTTCCAGGCGCAATCAACGGAAATCAACCAACATGGATAGCCCGGGCCATGTTACAGTATTGGAGTAAGAAGAAAACCAGGGGCATTTGTAGTGGGAAATGGGTGCGACTTCTTTGTTGGATTACCTTCCAAGATTTAAGCTGGGCGCTTGGAGAAGAAAACAAAGACAAACTTTTTGTTCATAAGATTCCATTTAACTTTAACGAGGAATTAATAGAATGCATTCTCTTGGCAAGGCAAGGAAGGAAGTACGACACTGCAATGTGGAATACAAATAGTACAGACCTTTAGATTCTACGACGAGAACGACTTCGAGTTCGCAGATTTGACTTAAATAATATACGCCTCGGATATCTTCATTGTACATTTTTTTGGCAGTGATCTTGATTGAGGGAGGTTAAGCTATTTCCCAGCCACAAAATAATAAAACCTATAACACTTTATAACTTGTGTCCGCTAACACGACGTTCTCGCTAAAACTCGTAGCAGAACGACGATGACTGCCACATTTTCCCGCCAAAATGACGCTGGATTAAGAGAGCTTACCACTTAGTATTGAGAAAATCTCGTACTCGTCTTAGAATCTAAAGGTCACTAGTGTTTACTATTCGACTACAAACGCGCCAACGGTAAAGGCGAATGGTTGTTTGAGTACTGCGAAGGAAAAGAAGATGGGACATAATAGGACTTCTGGAAGAAAAAGAAATAAAAAAATGGCAGGTTTAGACTAATACTTGCTGTTAATTCAACGGATAAAGTGGAATGCCTTGTTCACACTACACTATACTAGAACTAAAGGTTAAAGGTGTTGTAAAAACAATTGCTTATAAATGATACGAAGCATTAAAATACGCCTTATTTCTTAAAGATATCAAAGCTAAAGGTACTGCAAGAACTCGACTAGAACATACGAAGGAACATTATAATGAACAGTGGTAATGCAGCAAAGTTTAGATACCCAGACAAAATGCGTTATGTATTCACCACTTTCACTTTGCCCATAATACACCTTGTTTAGGTGCCGATCATTAGAAATGTTATTAGGGGGGAGTATCGGCCAGCTACTCCGTGATAATGGCTTTCTCCTTTCGTATTACGGTTTTGTTACAGGAAATCTTTTATAACAGATGTACACAGTTTATCCTTGAAGACTGCAACAATAGTCTCTATTTATCATCATCATCATCATCATCATCATCATCATCAATGATCAGCATTATAATTGTGAATACACTTCTTTAATATATATATTACAAATTCTCACGTTTGTGGACAATGCTGAACCAACACTGGTTCTACTTCCATGCCTTGAGCCTTAAACGTTCCTAACATGACTTTTTCTTAAATGCGTGTGGAATTTCAGGAAAGCGATACAAACTTGAGCAGGACAGCAGAACACCTATAAAAGATCATTGTATGAATTTACTTTCACCTATGGCCCAGTTCAGCCTTAAATTATGCCGCACCAGCCTACTCTTGGCTACGAGAGAACTTAAATCAATACTGATGAAATTAGTTTTAAGATTGGTTTAACAGAAAGGAAAAAATATTCAGTAAGACACGCTCAAGAACTAGACGGATTTTAAGAGAAAAGGCGGACTGCAAGCAATCTACTCTATTGCCACAGATATGAAACAGCTGGCAATTTCTACAACCTTAAAGAGATTCATTCAAATCAGTGCTTTGCCTTTATCCTCTTCAGAAAGACATTTCGTAGAATTTCCCACGAGGGCTTAGCCTTCCTGGCCTTGGCTAATTAACAATTAGTTCATGCGTCATCGTGCGTATGTCGAGTGTGTGAGTCTGGGTGTTCCCATTGCGCCCGAAAAAACCGTCGGCCCTGACACAGTTTTACAGTTTGCGGGAATAACACTCGACTCCGTATTCTTTGAGGCCCGCTTACCTGAAGACAAGCTTGCAAAATGTCGCGTGATGTTACACAACGTTTATACGCGTCGTACAGTTACACTGAAAGAACTTCAATCCTTAATAGGTTTATTGAATTTCACCTGCACTGTTGTCGCCCCGGGGCGCGCTTTTCTCCGCCGCTTGATTGATCTCACGAAAGGCATTCAAAAGCTGCATCACTATATTCGTCTATCGAAAGGTGCCAAATCAGACATCTTAATTTGGCTTCGTTTTTTGGAGGACTTTAATAATAAATCATTTTTCTTTAATGATATATGGGAAACCTCACACACCCTTCACCTTTATACTTATGCGGCGGGTTCCAGGGGCGGATCTAGGGGGAGGGTGCAGGGGGTGCGTCTGACAGGCAAAACACGACTCATAAGCTCTTGATAATGTGAAACATGACCTTGATAGTCTTCTTGAACAGACTGGTTTTTCTTCTTTTCTCTCTCGCGCGCGAATTATCACCTATTCGCCTCCACGAACACGTTCTAAGCCTCCTACTCTCGGAGCTTTTTTATCATTTCCCCGGTATTCTCACTGGCTTTAATAGCCTTCCACCTACCTCTCTTTCCTTAGTGCTCCTCCACTTCAATTGTGATTTTCATGGTTATCTAACTCGTTCTCGTTCAACTTGCATAAAATGTCCCTCAGGTATCAATTTGCTATTAGTTCTCAAGCCCCGATTATTTGGAAGGATAGTTTATTTATAACTTCAGTTTGGCGTTTTTTTGCAGCCAATGGCAAATCAGTATTTTTGATTATAGCAGCTAGTTTGCTCTCTGCACCATATAGTAGCAACCGACGAGGAACTGCATTCTTGCAGAATTCATAACATTCGCATAGACACAACAGTAAAGTCCTACGAAGGAACAACAAGACATCGCACTTTTGTTTAAAGACTCACCTCTGATCTCCAAAAACATTAAATGGACTGCATCAGGCTATCAGCGGTGAGAATGACCTTGACTCACGCAAAGCATAATTCTCCATACTTGACCGGTAGCTTTAGTTTAAGCTACCTTGTACAACTCAAATCTGAAGATCTCAGTCACTACCCGTGAAAACTCAAAATCCTTGAAACAACACGTATGAGCTAGGCCCAGCGTCATACTGACATAGCAGCCCGGGAGGGGCGAGGGGGCGGGGGGGGATACTCAACAAATTCTTATGCGGCGGAGGCCCACCCCTTAACCTTTCATATACCATTTTTCACGATTTCGTATACCTTCTATTGACAAATGGTACTCCTTTCACATATCTTGCTTAGAACTTTGTATCCCTTTTAACTATTGGAAACCCGCACTGTCATAAAATAGGAATCAGTCACAAATGTAGAACGCTTTCTCGACCGATAAGGGGTTGGACCTCGGGGCGGAGCCTCCCCGTACAAATATCTGTTAAGTACCTATCCAGGATTTCGGGCGGAGCCGCCCCGTATGGGCCATCATAGGGAGTACCCACTCCCCTTGCATAGCAAGAAATCATCACATTCTCGGACAAAGAAACTTACACGCATGCATGTAGTTATTCCGCAGATCCAGGATTTACGGAGAAAACCATAGAAACTAAAATCTTTATTTAGCCGTAATACTAAATTAAAGATTTAGCCTTAAACAGAGGTAAAAGAAAATTAAAACACTTTACAACTGCATCTGAGGTCAACTCCTAGCAGGAACACCTAAAGAACCATAAACCACAAGAGATAATTACTCAGTATGCTTGTAATTCTCTGTAGTGCTAATAACTTTAACTTTAACTTTATTATTCCATCGTTCATATAGTACAAAACTCAGTAAAGCCAAAGCCGGGGGCTTATACTACCTGTGGTCAAAATGACAGAAATTATTTTATGTAGAAATGAAGCCACTGGAGGCTAAATTTCAAAACTAAAACAAGATACAAAACTTAAATTAAGTAATGCAAGCACTCCTACAGCAGAGGTAAAACTAGAAGTACTAGTGACATATAAATTAACAATAAACTATGATAATCCTGCGCTAATTCAATCCAGGCTTAAAAAGTAAAGTTTTAGTTTCTATTTAAAGTCAGTCGTGGTAAGGTTGTTACGGACAGTGAAGGGTATATCAGTGGGATATCCTTGGCCAAATAATCGGGGCTTGAGAACTAATAGCAAATTGATACCTGAGGGACATTTTATGCAAGTTGAACGAGAACGAGTTAGATAAACATGAAAATCACAATTAAAGTGGGGGAGCACCAAGGGAGAGAGGCAGGTGGAAGGCTATTAAAGCAAGAGAGAATAGCTCATTCTCTCTTGATTAAAGTTAGTGAGAATACCAGGGAAATGATAAAAAGCTTCGAGACTAGGAGGCTTAGAACGTGTTCGTGGAGGCGAAAAGATGATAATTCGCGCGCGAGAGAGAAAAGACTCTCAAGGTCATGTTTCACACTTTTTATCAAGAGCTTATGAGTCGTGTTTTAATTTCTACTGAACTGAATCGATGGCAGTAAAAATAGCGGCATAAAAAAATTGCATATATAGCCTAACAAAAATACGAACTGTGCCTATACCCCCATATTCTATACTACTCTGAGCCTGGCGTAGCAGACACTTGTAAGTAACATGGGCACAAGAAAGAAAAGGGCGCGCGACGTGAGAGGGAGCGTGTTCCCCTTTGAGAGCCCCGTTCTTTCTTGCCCCCATAATATTTATAAGCGCCTTGTAAGCAGGCTAAATTTCAGGCGAATGTAATACCTGCCCGTTAACAGTATTCCGACTAAGACC